GGGGGGGGGGGGGGGGGGCAGTGGCACTGACCAAAAGAAAATTTTGGTTTTGACTTCAGTCTTTCGAGGATCGACTTCGCTACGCTGCGCTACTCCACGTGGCGTATAGCTGCATTTGCTAACTTCTAATCACCCACTGCTGAAAACACTTCCTTATCCGTTATACGGATCGAGGCTATTTGTTTTTTGTTTTTTCGTAACGATCCTCATCATTATCCTTTACTTAAAGCTTTTTGCCTCGGGCCTTCCGCCCATTTCACGCTATCTCCATGTATACCCTTTACCAACATTTCCGAAAAAGAGCAATCCAATGGACCTAGCTCTACGTAAACAGCTGCGCATCAATCATTCTTTATCGTGGGCGAAGTTAATTGAATCGTAATAAGTAAATAATTAGTCCTTATTAGCATGAACGTATCGCGAGTGTTAAAGAACGGACTGCCCCAGTGGATACACGGAATAATGAAAAATCGACAAGACGAGATTCCTGTGGTGAGTGAGCTTGTCTTTTATATTTTTTTTTTTTTTTCTAAAGGCTGTTGACTTTTGTGCCATTGCATAACGACTGTCTTAAGTGACACCGAAAGCATGGCACAGATCTTAGCTGTACCTGGGCCAGATTTCGCCCATGTATTTTCTAAGTGTGCCTTTGTACGGGATCCTATTGGCTATTCCATCTATACTTCTTTCGAGTGTTAAACTGCGGATCTGGTATAGTAAATAATTTTGACTCCCGATAGGGAGAACATGCTTGTTGGACAGCATAGATCTTATTGACAGACTAAAATTCGTATTACCGGCAGTGTATAAAACTCAACTGCGACATTATAACTGAATTATTGATTAATGTGCTTTTCAATGAGTTCACGAGATAAAGAGTTACTTCGGATTATTAGAGCCGTGTTAAAGCGTTAAATGCAAATGTACGAGTAACATTATTGATAGCCACTCGATTATACTGGTCGCTTTAATTTTCTTCATTTCGTTAGAGCTAATTGGTAGAGCGTGGACATCCACGTGTGGGCGAAGTCAATTGAACTCGTGTCCGGGCTGTGCTATATCGGTACATTGAGAACGTTCAGTGACCAATTTGATTCTAATGAGAGAATGTGGGTTCGCGTCGGTTCGAAAGAACTCGGGTGAAAGCAGAAACGTGTTTCGAGCAACCAGAAATTGAATAGGCAGCCTTGTCAGGGCTGGAAGCGACGTTACAATGGTAGCGTATGTATAATATAGATATATAGTAAAAGAGTCATACCTTGCCAGCCGCAATGTATTACGTTTCATAACGCGTCGTCGTATAAAGTTTCCTGACAATTCGTTATTATCTTGTTATCGAGATGGACCGAACGATTGGGAATGAATTCCGTGAGGCGAGCGTCGTAAAAATTTTAATGATCATCGACGGGGTGGTCCGGACGCGATATTCTTTTTCTCCCATAAAAATTTTGACGAATCGACTAAAACTTTTTCATCCCGTCGGCCAACTCGTGAAACGTCTCAGACGACATCTGGCTTGAATAAGTTGACGTGGAGTTTTGCACGCTGCGGAAGCCCAGCGGACACGCCGCGTGCGCGCGTCGTCCCTTTCGTAGAAAATGTTAATTTTAATGGGATTTCCTTGTAGAGGAAGGATAATGCGAGCGTCTGTAGAATTCGCATGCTGACTCGCAAACGAATGCACGCGTGTAACGGCAGATGAGGAGGGCAACGTAATCCTTTCCAGTTTTTCCTTAGTTTGCGTTACGGTATGCGCTTCGTGTAGACGCCTTGTTTTGCCGTTTTATAATGTCCTTAGTTCTTCGTTAGAACCCTCGTTACAATGCTGTTTAGGGTCTGGTGGGTTTGTTGCTTAGCTATAAAGGGACGAATAAAGCGTGTTTACCTATTGTTTTTTCTTCAGCCATTTTTTACTTGAAAACCAAGAAAAGACAATAGGCCTTCCATTACTATACCTATGTGATTTTTTTTCACCCGGTTTTATCCCACTTACCTACGATTACTTTACGTACTACTCCCTATCGTCATTCCGTACGTACCTACGTTCGCCTATAGATCTTACCGTACCATAAATCCACGTACTGTTCGCGAACGGAATCGTTCCCGGACTCCCGTCACGTTCGCGCGCACGCATCAAAGTTCGAGTGTGTATCGGCGTTTTCGCGTGGTTAAATAAATTACAGCGTCCACGCGCACCGACGACTAATTCAACGTCACCGGGCGTCCCCAGAGATAGGTACTAAAAGGTGCTAATATTTACACAAGTTTCCGAGAAAACACTTATCGACCCACGTAGTCGCGAACACTTGCCTCCACGGTAAAGCAATGAGTTGCCAATCATGATACGAGTGTTTGCACGGCTTCTACATCCGGTCGTGAGTTTTCTGTGTTTCTCGGCGCGATCTTGTAGTTACACGTGCTCGTGCCGTGCCTGGTATCTTTTGTCGATGGGGCTATCCGAGCTGTTGGAATCATTGGCTAGGACACTGATGCGCGTGGTACATGTGTAAAATCGGGTATAGCGCTCCTACGGAATTTCTACGTTGGGTTTAGTATCAAAGTGGTAGTCATTTGTAATTTTCGTATTTGGTGTATTTTAACTTTTAATGACTTTCTGTTGCACGCTGTTGTGTATCTTGGCTGTATTGAGAATTTTTGAGGAATTAAACTTGCTTCCTTTTGTATCGCGAATGGCCAACGATAGAACGGCTCGCGAGTATTATGTGCGCTAGGGGATATGCATGCTCTGTCGGACTCAGATATAGGTAGGCGTGCCGCCGGATATGGTACGCCGGAAGTGGGGGACTCCAGCCACCGACACGCTCCATGCTTCTCGGTTCTCTTGACTCGACAATCTGCAATTCTCGGTGCGGTTCGCCCTGGTTATGCTATAGCAGTGGTACCAGCCTTGCGTTTCGACTATGAGGATCATGGCTGGACTGGGCTTCGTGATTTAGAATAAGGAATGTTCAAAGGGTCTTCAATCTCGTGAAGAATTTATATGGGACTTTCGTGGGACTGTAGTTTTGTTACAGGGAATAAGTCGAAGGGGACAATTGTATGAAATTTTTGAGAAACATACATACGATGACGGGCATAAGAAATTGTGGGATTCACGTAGAATTTGGGGGGTGGACGAAAATTATCAGGACCTTTACGTAACGCTTACGTGGATATGGATTTTTCGAAAATAATTTTTATGTCGCTTAGCGGTTTTATTATTTTTCTGTATTTTTTTTTTTTTTTTTTTTTTTTTTTTTTTTTTTTTTTTTTATTACTTCGATCCTATGGCACGAACCTAGGGCATTCTCAATGCTGCCTCATGCGTGAATGCGTGCACGCACTAAGGCCTTCGGCTCTCTCGTAATACGTATAGTGTCTTGTGTATATTTTCACTTGATTTAGGTAGAAGCTGCCGCCTTGGAAAGTATTAAATGGAATCGTAATTCTTGGTTGGCAGGTCTCCTGGTTGTATGGCGGTACACGCGTATCGCTGACACACGGAATTATAAAAGACAGCCGAGCCGATATCGTACGTTATTGTAAAAGTGTATATTAAACGGACTTATTGTTAGTCGAACGGTGAAGTCGTGTCAGCTCGATTCGGACTTTTAACAGATGTTAAATGTTCAACGTTATTTCGATGTCGTTAAGTCGCGTACGGCAGTACCTTTTTCAATGCACATTTTCACGATAGTGCCGCGCGCGTTTACGTGCTTTCGGTGACGCTAGTAAGTCGGCTATACACACGATTGTAGCTCGTGTAACAAACTGCGCAGTTAAGCGACAGACACGCCCTTCTCCTGTGTCGCACGATATGTCGCGTGGTTCACTACGCACCGGGTGTCGCAATTTTTCCACGAGGCCAATAAAGAACCCTTCAATTTCAGTTTTCGCTCGCTATACATAACCAATAAAATTTTTCTTCAAAATAACAATCGACAAAATAACAAAGTTCGTCAGTATTATGAAAAACTGAACAACGCGAACTTTATGATCATTTCATACTTAAATTTTCATATGACAATTTATCATACAAGTAATTAGCTTTTTGATGCCGTATAGTTAATGAAGTTATGTATCGTACTTGTTTTTCTAACGATCGTTACAACTGCAAATCCATTCATTTTCCAACTGGCACTCCATATAGGTATATTCGCCGCGTTGGATATATCCAATATATTTTTATGCAATATTTCTCGAGCAATATCATTTTTATGAAGCTTACCTTTATATGGATACGTGCTCTAAGTATTTCCAGCTCGAATTGCACGTTCGGTATTATACAACTTGTTTAGTTCTACTTACTCACTGTTAAGCTACTTCTTTCGGTCTTAAGCCGAGTCTGACGGTCATGCGCTTGGATGGTAGCAACGTACGTGCATACTCGTACGTATTGTATACGTAAAGTTAGATACGTGCATTACGTAGCCTTCACCTCCTTTCTTCTCGCGCTTCCGTTGTTTTAACGAACGATTCAATGAGCTGCGAGGAAAACTTAATGGAGTGCATCATCGTATTACGTAACAATCCAAGTACTGTCGCAGTACGTTTTCAATGTATGAACAAACGTAGCGTCCGAGTTTGCTCGAGTCGATAAAAAATATGTTCGTGGGACATTGAAGCGTTTGTACGGTGTTGATATTAGTTACCGAAGACGCCGCGGGGCGGCGCTGTCGACCGCGTAGGGAAAATGCGATATCCCCAGTCAATTTCGGTCGCCCGATACCCCCGGCCGTCGCGGCCGATTACAGCCTTCGTAATTACGGTAATTACGGATCGTAGAGTTATGGACTGTCGGAATAAATACAAGCCGGCGCCATTAACGACCCGCTGCGGTTCTTCTATACCGAAGCGATGGAACCGCGGTAGCCGCGACTGGTGCGCTCCTACGGTGTACGGCGATAAACTAACCTAACTATTGCTCGCCGCGTTCTTAGCTATACTTGGCATTCGTTTTGCTCTGCGATTCCTATATCGGATTCGTCCAGCTCAAGGACGAGTTACTTGGTGACATTCAGACGATCCTCAGGAATTCCATTTGGTTATGGTGACTTCTTATTTTGTTCTTTTAATGATATCGGTGAGTCTTTTTTCTTTTTTCTTTTCACTTGTCTCTTATATTATTCCGACGGACTTGTGCTTCATGTCATTTATACTTTTCACTAGACTCGTTTCTCTATACCCATGTATATAGGCGCTTGGCTCTCATTCTTTCTCCGCACGATCAACTCCCGGGACTTTTCTTTAGTTCTATCTGACAGTGCGGATAATTTGAAACAATTTGTCGAGGCGGGTTTTCATAGCGATATTTATCAAAGGGGATACTCTACGATGGTTGCGGACTCGCAATTTTCTCTACTCGGAATCGAGTCTGCGAGGAAGGTGGTTGAGAGGGGGATCAGCTGTCAGAGGCGCAAGGAGGATGGGTGGGTGCATGGGCGAGCGAGCGCGACAGCAGCAGAGGAGGTATACGGGGATAGTGAAAAAAGAAAGGAAGAGAGATATAAAGAGCAAACGTATTGGATGTCCTGCGAAAGCAAGTTGAAGGTGAATGGCGGGCGTGGCTTTGCTCGAGGTGGAATGGAGTGAGTGCATCCTGCTACAGCGACGCCTTGATCACCGTCTTCCTCTCCTACTGGCAGCTCTCGGTCGTTTTTCCTTCGCGCTATTTCATCATTCTTCTTCCGCACTTCAAAGCGCTCCTGAAACTCGTCTCGCGCATCCTTGCCGCATTGTCGCCCGTAGTCGCACAGACGTTTCTTTCACTAAGGGATACACGAGGATTCGCATCGAGTCTAGCGGGAACAAATGCGTCCGTGCTGGTTCAAACGAAAGATCTGCTTCCGGTTACGATTCGACTGGCTCTCCCGGGAAGCTTGCGCTTCACGTTTCTACAAGCAATGGACCTTTGGTCACGATCCACAATTTTTCTTGAATTCCAACGACTGTGACAGTTCAGCATTTCTGGTGGCGATATCTCTTTATTCGTATGCTTGGTAGTCATGTCCGACTTTGGATACCACTAACTGTAGTCAATTGGATATGCCCCTGGATTAAGGAGGTCCTGTCGAAACTACCTACTTGAATTTTCACGTCCGAAACTTTTACAGGTTGTAAATTAAAGAAATCTGAATTGAATCGCAAATTTTGATAGGTCGGTCACCGTCGAAAATGTTAAGAAAAGTAATATTAAGAATGAAACCTTATATATGGATTCGAAGGTCACAGAGATTGAATTTCGACTTTGGATGAGAAAGTAACACATTTAAAGTGAACTTTGAAGCAAAAAATGATATACTACGGATTCGTGAATTTTTCAGGATTCGATGAATACTGTAAAAAAGTAAACTTGCCGGATGTTTCAAAGAGTAATTGCAAATCAAATTGCCGGATCTCCATCGATTCACCGGGAGAGACCCAATAAACAAATAAATAAAAGTCAAATGGGAGTATGATTTTTAAAATATATTTGTACGAATGAGCTAATTTTACAAAGGTAAACACTTCCAAACAAATTTCTATACTTAATCTGAATAATTTTGTAAGAAGGTCCGGTATCGAATTGATTCGATAATTGATCAGTTGACCAGCATGCATCGACAGGACCTCCTTAATTGGTTGCAGCTTGATTTGAAGAAATTGCTATGACGTCCTCATCTTTGGACGTGACCTTGTTTCATTGTCCCTTATGGACGTCAGTCACACATGCGTGCTGCACGATGCAAAAGACAGCCGTTGTTCCACGTAGAATACGGCGTTGCCTTGATCGAAAGTTTTCTACTTTTATATCGCTCTCTTTTTCTTCCTCGCTTTTAGTCGGGTCCTTTCTTTTTGCTGTTATTTCTCCCGTTAACCCACCGGCTACTCCGGCTAATCGTCTTTTCGTGAAGTAGCCCCGCTGCGCTCGGTAAACACAAGATTTTACCTGCGTTGACTGTGGACCGTGAACGTCTCATTGCCTCCAGGCACGACACCTCCTCTCATTTTTCTCTTGAATCCTTTTTATCTTATTTTCTCTTTTCTGTGCGCGTGCTTCTTTGAATCCCTACCACTCTCGCTATCACTACAGCTATTTCTCTCTATATATAGGTATAGTGTATACTGTACTGTCTCACGTACTTCTTATCTACCTCTCTCTCTCTCTCTCTCTCTCTCTCTCTCTCTCTCTCTCTCTCTCTCGTCTATCTCGAAACATTTTATCTTACCTTCCATCATCTCCTACGGACTCGTCCTCTAACTACGTCATTCCCAGCATCACGGAGAAACATTATCCCCGCAGCAGTATCGATTAATTTCATTAGCGACAGTAAAATTGAAACCTGTCCCAGAAAAGAATTTGTCCCGAGGTGGGCGTGTGTCTATTTCAATATTTAAATGAGAAGCATACCCGAGCGTGTCCCGGCAATACGGAAGTCCTTCGTGCTATTGTAGGTTCATGTAGAAAAACGATGTGATCTGGGTAATAATTCAATAAACCTGATTATGGTTGCGATGGAAGGTGGTCGTGCGATTTAGAAACGAATGGTGATAGAAAATGAAAAAAAAAAACAAAAAAACAAAGAGATCAGAACATGGTACATAGAGCATGCACGTTACAGGAGGCATAATAAAGGTTTAATAATAGTAGGAACGAGATGAGATAAAAAATTGAAATACAGTCAGTACCTCAGAGGGGGACCGATACGGCAAATCGTACAGCCGATGTCTCGTCCAGATGAAAATAAGAGAGGATGCGCAGCGAGCAGACTGTTTGCTCATTAGACCGGATAATTGCAGCCGGGGCCCGGACTAACCTCATCTCACCTTGCCTATCCCGGCGCATCTCACCGTCTTCTGCCTTTAACCTCCCTTCACCATCGCCATCATTATTCGACCTCGTAACACCTCCTTCCCTCGCGGCCGCACCGTCTGAACGCTTCTAGACTCGGCCGAGGCGCAGGTCTCGTAGCAAGTGTAACCCAACACACCGAGAGGACAATAGCATCACCAGGCAGACGCCAGGACGAATCCTCTCGCTTCGTTTATCGTTACCATATTCACGTAGCGGATACGCGGCTAGGTTAGGTTTGCGCGGGAGGGAGAGAAGGACGAAGAGAGCCGAGACCGGCCGTGCAGCCGAGAGGCAAAATCTGGACAATCTGGTTTCGCGCGTCTCGCCAAAGTGCATTCTGGGTCGACGCACGGGGAGGAGTGCGGACGGGAAGTTTTATTTTTTTCCAACGGATCATATCCTACAATCGTACGGGTCGAGCTTTTTCAGTGATCGCAGGTAAGAATTTTGGGAGAAATTTTCTTTTCACCCGTTCGAAGCTTTACTGATGTTTTAATAGGGGATTTCTTATTGAAATTTTGCAAATTATAATAGTCGAATCTATTAGAAAATCATATCACTTGCAATTTATAATGAGTGAAGGTTACGGAATGGAAATTTCACTGATCTTAACTATGACTATCATAACTATCAGTAAACATAATAAAATCACAACAAACAGACTAATACATATACGCTTACATTCTAATAAATCATCGCTTTTTTACATTATCTTCATCATAACGACCGTACTCACGTAATTCATTACGATTCGTCAAATTTTCTTATTGATTGATAAGAATTCTTGAGTCCGCCGTTCAGTCCGTCGGAGCTCGCCCAGGATTCAGTCCTTTATTGGTAGTACTTCAAGTGATGACCATGCATGTCGTTTGATTTATTCAGTATTAGCCGTTAATAATATTTCCAATTTCAATAATTATTGATTGAATGCGGGACTGAATATAAAATCAGCAATTGCCTCTGCAAGTGGACTGTCTATATGTACGAAAAAATAAAAAAGAAACAACCAATAAACTATCTATTTGAATACAAAATTACTATTTGAAGAAACGCGTTAGATTACCTGTCGTGCTCCAAACGTGACACGTGCTTCTTCCTCAGTAGCTCGAGGCAAAGGGAAGAGTTACACGGTCGGAGACTTGATTTTCACGAGTAAATAGGAGGGGATTAAGAAATCGATTATTCTGACCTACTGCGGTCACTTCACCAACTATTATAGATCCCGGTCGGTAATCCGTTAGAAAATTGACTTTATCGGATCTAACGCTGCAATAGTGTTATCAGTGTTAATGCGTTTTTCATGGCGCAACCTTATGGACTCTGTGTACGTTTACTTGGCGCCGAATGGCCTAAGCTGTAACTAATGCAACGTATAGGTGAAAAGTTAATTAATTCGAATAAGTTTCCGGCAATATATGGCGCTGCCTCGGGCCTGTTGTCGGGACATAATGTTGCGCGTCGTAAAGCGAACGCAGTTGCGCTCGGTCCTCATGGGTGCATAGACGGGAAACGCTGTATAGATATATGCCTTATGTATTATGGGACTTTCAATCAGGATTCGCAGCGCGGGTTCGCAATGTCCCAAATATCGGGCTCAAGTGGAGTTACATACATATACATATAGCTTGCTATTGAAAGTAACGGCGCGTACTTGCTGCATTTCTATGTCGAAAGGGAACTTAAACGTTAATGGTCATGCGTTATCCGGTTACTGTATGCCCGTGGTAGGCATATTATGATGTACGCCGATAAATGAGTTTCTTTGGGATGAAAGGAAAGGAGAAAGAAAAATTCTCATATGAGAATATCATGCGTTGACTGTTGTTTATGAGGGAGTAAATACCATCTGACTATATATCTCGGAATTTTATATTTATTTATTATCCACGCGCAGGTACGCGTGCACCGGGTTGACTCATTTCAATTTCCACTGATTCAACCGGCGCTCGAAAGACCATTCGAAGCAAATTGAAAGCACGTAAACTATCATTTTAAATGGACTTGATCGATCAGAACGAGCGCTTACGAGTTTCAATTTGTTTTCAATGTCCTTCCGAATGCTCGTTCGTCGGCGCGGATTGGAGCGTTCCCATGATGCCGCCGCCCCTGACGCTTCGGCGTAAGCGATGCTTTTTTCCTCGGACACTTATGGGAGGATTCTGATATTAATTTAGCATTGTGGTCAGTCGGGGCTTCTGGAATTGTGCCTAGTAATTCTGTGTTTTGTGGTTGGCAATACTTATGATTTT